GGCTGAAGGGGAGCAGATGAACAAATGCAATCCAGCACCACAAACCATACCTGGCAAAGCTCTAAGGCCGAGCTTTCCCTGCGCCTGTGAGTGCTGGGATGCACTCACCACCGACAGCCGCCCGTGCTTCATGTCTCAGTTACAATAACTAAACTCTTATTATTACTCACCCACCTACCCCGTGCCAAGAGATGTAAATCTTATCTTGAATTCCATGCAAGGTCAACACGATTATGCCCACTTCCAGACCAGAGAAATCAAGGCCAGGAAAGCTCAGGTAACCTGGCCAAGCTCCCACAGGGGGGAGGGGTACAGGGGGCTCCCAGAGGCCACATCTTTTCTACTTTTGGGATGAGGTGCTTTTCCCTCCGCCCAGGAGCCTTTTGGCATGAGGAAGTCTTGCCAAGATTAATCTAGACTTCACGGGTTACTCATTCTTGAAATGTTCCCTGCAAATTAATGACATGAAAATGTTACGTAGCAATTACCCTGAAAGCAAAATTTTGAAAACCCATTAACCAAAAGGTAGCCTCGCCTACAAATCTCAACAGAAGAGCACCTCCCAGGCTCGTGTCCTTACAGGTGACCCCACTTAAAGCCAGCAGAGCTGGAAAAGCAAACACTCTGCTTGCTCCCTTCAGCGCTCTGGTTGATAGGAAGGCCCTGCCTAGGCTGGTTTGTGCCTGATTTTGTAGAGGCCACATGATAGGCGGGGAGCAGCCCTTCCCGCAGCCCTGGCCAGGGAGATCAGGGCTCCCTGCTGGCAACAACTGTCTTGCTCGCAGCTGCTCCCGGGGCTTTGCTGTTCCCAATGTGACAGGGGCCAAAAAATGTACTTGACAATAGAAATCTTTGAGGGTGTGCAAAAAAGGCAAGACACTGTAACTCCATTGTGAGAAAAGGTACATGCTCTGATTCTATTATACAGTCGTCAAAAGGGTGGGCTTCAGGATTTGGTGAGGCAAGGCAGTCCTCAGCACTTCCCTTTTGCCTGGGAGAGATGATTTGAGGGGAGGGAAGGAGCTGCCAAAAATAATAGTCTTCATTTTTTTTTTTAACCAAAACAAGAAATATCAATAAGCTCTAAAACCAAACAAAATAAAATGCTATGAAAAAATAGGCTCAAACACTCTTAGCCCCTTAAAAAGCTCGTTAAACAACCCCAGGTAACAACCAAACCCAAACTGAGTGTTCAGGAGGAAAAAGGCGTTTCCACTGAACCTCTTGCGAGTTGAGTTTGTTCCAACCTGGAGTGAACCAGGCTGTAAGAAATAGTGGAAAACATTCTAGTTGTACCTAACAATTTATCCCTTAAAACATTCAACCTGCTTCCTGTATCTGGAATTCTGAGTATATTTGTGTACATTTTACATATTTATTCTGAAAAACCAAAGCGTTTGTATGTCCCATTAATAATCCTCAAAAGAGCTTTTGCTTGAGCAGCCATTGTGCCACTCCTATTCCTAGAATGGAAAACAGAAAAGTCAAGCTCATGTATGAGTTCAACTGGTAGGTGCTTACTGGCCTTCCAGTGTTCTCAGCACTGTACTTGGCCCTGGGGACATGGAAACAGCGTCCACTTCAAAATATCAACAACACATTTGCACAGTAGTCTGGCCACTGTGCTGGTTGAGACTTTTCTGCTATTTTTTTTAATTGCTTTGGTTACAGACATAGCAAAAACCTAGTTGCTGCCTAAAGTAAGCTTTTTAACAACTTACCTCCAAATGCTAAAGAAAACACACCTAGTTTTCCCAGAAGTGTACACACAATTTACTTGAGAGTAGCCATAAATATCTAAAGGTAGACCATGAAGAAACAAACTCTATTAGGGAATGTGGGGTGCTCAGTTTCTCCAATCCCGGGGTACACTTTGAAGTCAGTAGCCATCAGCTGAGGGGCGCGAGCCTCACAAGTGTCCCGCTGACCTGGCCGGCAGGAAGATAGGTGTCTGCTGCTACTTACAGCAGAAACTCCAAGGCAAGAGGGCTGTGCATGCAACACGCACGAGAATTCATTCCACGAGGCAACTGCTTCGTAGGTACAGCTCAGTGGTTCTCAAGTGGCAGTGATTTTGCTCCCCATAGCTCATTTGGCAATGTCTGCAGACATTTAATTGTCACAACTTGGGGGCTCTACTAGCATCTAGAGGCCAGGGATGCTGCTCAACACCCTACAAGGCACAGAACAGTCCCCCTAAAACAAAGAATGAACTGGCCCAAAATGACACTGGTACCCAGTTTGAGAAACCCTGGCCCTGCTCTGAGTAACAGCTGCAAGTCCCAGGTAACTCCTATTTCCTTAATATTTGGACAGTCATACATGAAGCCAATACATATAACATTTCCTTCAACGTTTTGTTCTCAACCATTAGCATTAGCTTCAAATTGTTGTCCGACAAGCAACAAGTCATTATGCCCAAATCGCAATGGGAAAAATTACCAAAGAACAGGACACCACTTAGTGATAAGGAGGCCCTCCAATTTTGCTGTCCTTGGAAATATCACTTCCACACTTATTGTTTCTACTCTCACAAGACATAGCAAGATTTTCTTCACTGGACAGTTTAACAAAAGGAGGCTCTGTTATAAAACACTAAACAGAGAGACTATGTTAGGAGTTTGTTTTCAATTAATACAGCAATGTGTGGCCACCCTCATTGGCCCTGCTGGCCTCCACCTCAGGGGCAGAACGTTGAAGGCTGATTAGAAATACTCCACCAAATTAAAAATATAATTTCAAATAAATGAAAATATCCTCAAAATGAACATTTCCACCAGCAACAGAGGGGAAAGGCTCTGGATTCTACAGCAAGCTCTTCATCCTTGGGCAAGTGACTTAATCTTTGACTTAAAAATGCTTCGACTAGGAAATGAAGGGGATGGATGATCACTAAAAGACAACTTCACTATTATATCATTGAACTAAAATCCAACAACCAGGTTACCTTACACTGAACCATAGTGTAAGGAAAAAGTTTTTCAACCAGAAAATGTGAGAGGCATCTGTCCCACGTTATCCTGAAGTTCCCCCCACTTGCACTAGGGGGCAGAGTTCTTCCCAAGGGGAGGCCACAGACCCCCTGTGGTCCAGACAGGCTTCATGGAGACCAGGATCCCAAAAAACTCAACACAAATTCTATGTCCCATCCTATCTCTTAAGGAACCCAGAATACACAAAAGCAAAATAAAGCCAATAAAAGTTAAGAATTAGTGTCCTGCAGGCATAGCCTAGGTTTTCTAACAGATAAAAGCCCACTGGTCTTTCATCATGGCTTAATCTGCAATCCTGCAAAAAGTTCTCGTGCCTTCTTGCAGGCATGAAGTTCTACGGATTAGAAAATGCTACAGTCTCACATTTACAGATTTCATTCTTTAAAAACAGGTAAAAAAAAGTATTAATGGATGATTAATTCCTTTCCAGCCCACATCTCACAGAGAATATGGGTATCACATGTGAGATGCCACTATGAAAAAAACTGGGTATTACTATTGCACAGGAATACATTTATCACTTTGGCCATTATAAATAGTTGTCTAAGTGGGCATCCCGAAAGCAGAATGACTTGAAATATTATATCCAATTAAGTCTGAAAAAGCAAGTTGGGGAACACAGATGCAACCCCTCACCAATCTAATTGGCAGGAACATTCCAAAACTGTCCTGGCTTCACAAAACACCCCCTGGCTCTCAATGAAAGTCATATCTGACTCCCTGAAGTCAACTAAGTTTACGTTGAGCCACTTCAAACCTCAAACTTAAACAGAACTCATTAAATAAACACAACCAAGAAAGGAAAGGGAGCCAGGAAACTACAGTAACTCTGGACCCCAGGGGGAGAGAAAGGGGAGAGGGTTCTCCAGTCAAGGATTCCAAGTCACTGTGGTGTCCCGCCCTCAGGGAACCTAAAAGGGGCATCGGTTTAACCTTTTTAAATAGCCATTGTTTGCCCTAAACGATTTTCTTTACATTCAAATTCAAAATCTGCCCAGGGCAGTCCGCACAGATACCTGATCTTTTGATCTCACCATCTGGAAGGATCTCCAACCCTACAGAGCGCTTCTCGGGGAGAACTACAGGTCCCACGCCAAAGGTCCAGCGGGCAGAGAACACGGTGAATGATTAAACGCGCCGTTCCCGCTCACACTCCATCACAGCCGGCTCCCCTGGAAGTGCGTGCACCCCTCGCACAGGAAGCCGGCTCGTTTTGCAAAGGAAATACCAGACCTTTCTTGGAGAAAGGCACGTCCCGGTGGAACATTTTACTGGACTTCCTGCACCCAGGTAGTCGGGCAAGCAGAAGTCCTGGCCAGGCCCGGGCGCCCGCCGCCTCACCTCCCGCGCCCGCCGCGGGGACACCGGTGAGCCGGCTACCCACGCAGAAGGAAGCTCACCTTCGCTACCTCCCGGGGCCAAGGGGAAGCGCGGGACCAAGCAAAACCTGCCCCGGCTTACTCATCCCGAGGCTCCCCCGGGGGGTGAGGGGGTGATTTCAGGCGATTCACGGGAAGTTTCGCCCTCCACGGCTTAGGGAAAGGTACCGGGCGGGCGCCCGGCGCGGTGGGCAGACCCCTCCTCCGGGGCACCGAGGCCAGGTCCGGGCAGGAAGGGAGCCCGCGCGGGGCGGCGAGCGCACTCACCTCGGGGAAGAAGTTGTCCATTGTTCCAGCGCGTTCCCCGACTTGCCCGAGTCGGGCGTCCAGCTCGAAGAAGTCAGCCCAGCGGAAGGTCCGGGGAAGGAACCATGCATGTCACGGCGCGACTCCCAGGAACTCGAGCCCTAGGGGCTCTCCCGTGGCCATCGCCTGACCCCCGGCTCGTCTTTCGCACCTTCTGTTTGCCCAGACCCAATTCTCGAACTCCTCCGTCCCCAACGCAGCCTTTGTCTCCTCTTCCTCCAAGTTCTTCACTTCTGGGCGCAGCGCACGCGAGCGGAGAACAGCTGGTGGCACATTCTTCCCCGGGGCTAGGGAGGGCGGCGGGGGGCTGGGGAGCGCTCCCCCTCCCTCTGAGCTGGGGCCCGAGGCGCTGGGCGCCGGCACCCGGACAGCGGCTACAGGGCGAGCCCGGAGTCGTTCTCCCCGTGCGAGCGCCGCCGCGGTAAGTATTCGGGCGCCGCGGCTCAGCCGGCTCAGCGAGGCTCCGGGACTTGCAGACGGGAGCACACGCCCCGCCCCGATCCGCTCGCCGGGCCACGCCCACCCGCCCGCGTCGCCCCGCCCCCCTCCAGGAGCCCAGCCCGGAGCCAACCCCGCCCCGCTTCCGCAGGGTCCCAAGCAGCCCGGCGGCGCGCCCCGCCCCACCTACCACCCAGGCCCCGCCCACTCCGCGCCGGGGCTGCTCCAGGCTCTGCGGCGGGCGGGGAAGGCGGGTTCCAAGTGGCTCCACTCCTGTCCCCGCCTCCCCACCTAAAGGCTGGCGGGGGAGTTGACTCTTCGCTCTGGTGATAGAAACCAAATAGTCACCGGGGAGGAGGGGTTGAGAGATTCTTTTGTGCCTTTGATCTCCAGCAGACCCTGGAACCCGCTCAACACGGATCTCATTAATGCAGCTCGGCAGAGGAGCGACCCCGGGAAGGAAGCGCGGTCCGCGGAGCGGCCCCGGCTGTTGGGTCAGATCAAAGCGCTGAACTGAGGCTCATCAGAATTTCTGGAAGCTGCTTTCCCGTCTTGAGTTTCTCTCCTGCGGTCAGGCGAACAGACGTTTTCCTAGCCGCGGGGGGGAAGCAGTTTTGTAAACTGGAAGAGGGCGTGGCCAATTGCACCTTTAAAAAACGTAACCTTGTTCTGGGACCTAAAGGAAACAGAGATCAGAAAGTCGGGTGGATGAAGGATCAAACCCACCAGGTACGGACGGAGTCCTGGTTTCCTCTATGGCAGGTCCTCAAACTTTAGCGTGCACAGGACTCACCTGGGAAATTTGTTAAAATGCAGGTTGGCGTTCAGTGGGGCGAGCGCTGACCATCTGCGTTTCTAACAGGACCTCAGAGGGTGGCACCTGGACCTGTGCAGATCTGCGCACTGAAGCCTGTCTGTCACAGGTAGAGAAATGCAGAACCGGGGTTTAGAAACTTTTGTAACGATTTTAAAATGCCACGACATCCAAGCGCCTGATCGTTGGACTCTTTGAACCGAGTATACACCAGTTCGGGTGTTGTCAGACTGCATGGTGAGTCATACACCTGGCACAGCAGGGATCGCCTATTGGTTCCTAACAGATCGTTGACAAAAATGACTGGTTCTTCACCACAAGTAGTTAGAAACGCGCTCTCTGGGATTTGCCAACTCATGCTTTAAAACTCAAGCCAGAAAGTCACATCTTCCAGAGGAAGCCTCCCCGGAGATGCCAAGCCACTCACCCTGCTTCCAGCCCCACCGAGGCATGGGTGTGGCTTATTTCTAAGACTATTGAAGAAACCACATCATATTGTAAGGGGCTTTTTATTGCTGTCCTACCCATCTTCAGTTGGGAAAATGGAAGCTCCTTAAGAAAGGGAACTGCGCTTTAAAATTTGCATCCCCTGTCTTTTTCAAAGAATGAATGAACCCTTGTGTGAAACTCCAAGCATGTTTATAACCCTTCTCAGAGCCGTTCTCCAGCATTAATATTTATTCAGCCCACCCCCCTGTGGAAAACGTCATGGTATAATTTGTGATAGTGCACTATGCTGTTGCCCTGTTTCATAGGTTTAGAGACGCTTAGGCCAATAAAGACCGTGTCCCAGATTGAAGATGGAGCCAGGATAAACAACAGCAATCCCAGGCACCAAAGTGCTTAGTCAAATGAGTCCTACTGCCACCTGTGTTCAAATATGGGAGCAGAACAATTACAGTCATTATGGTATTATTAATCTGTACAGAACATCTTCCAAGAGAAATTACCAGGCAGCTTGTTCAAGTGGGTGTGTGGGTGGGGCGTGGATCCCAGCAGCAGCCCAGGCACTGAGTAATGTATTGGGCAGTCTTGGCCAAGACACTTTCCAATATTGGCTCATCAATTGTAACAACTTACCACACTAATACAACATGTTAGTAATAGAGGAAGCTAGGGAGAGGGGGCAGTAAGGGGGTAGATGGACACATTCCCCTCCATTTTTATGTAAACCTAAAACTGCTCTAAAAATAGAGTCTAAGTTTTTAAAAGTCACATTTCTGTTGTTTAAGAAGATATAGTTAATTACCCCCAACTTGACTCATATGAAGAATATGAGCCAGATCCAATCCATAAGGATTGAATTTTACTAACTTATTATAATTAAAAAGTTTCTCTCACCTGGGACTGTTGTTCAAAAAAAAAGCTTGTTTCTTAATCTCAGGTGTGGGCTGAGTGCTTAAAAATCTCAATGTTAGTAAGCACCCAACTAGGCAATTCTCAGTGTGAGAATCACTGCTTTAAGGTTGTCAGAATTCATTAGATTTTCCTCATAAATGTACATTCTCAAAGAGGTGTAACGATAAACTGAATAGTTAGGCTATTTGCTGAATAAACAGCAAAGGTCGTGAAAAAAAAATATATATATATATATATAATTTAAGCTTTCTAAATAAGATATCCAACTTTCATGTATTTGGGGTTGAATCCGGTGTTTAAAAGGACTCTTACATTTACAAGGGCTTTGACAAAATTGGGCAAAAATGGGGAAGCATTTTAAATCCATAGATTTCTAAGAATATCCACTTTTGTTACCATTTTTAAAAAGTTAAGTGCTTCCTTTCAAGGGTCTGTGGAACCCTTTGGTCAAAGCTGTTTGGGCTAAAACAGTTAAACCCTGCCTTCTGACAAGTAACAGAGGCTCAGGAATGTTAATGCTCTGAGGCAAAGCTCCTTCCCAGTTACCCTACTTATTTCTCAAAGACACCATGCAAATCGAGTGCTATATTTTCAAATTAAAACATCAATAAAGCTCAAACAACATTCTCTTATTTAGCTGCACAAATTAATCCACAATTGACAAAACTTTATCCTAATATAGGTGGGACCATTTTGCCACTCTAAAGGAGGATTATGTATGCATATATGTGAGTGAAGTACTACAATGGTCCTGTTTTGTTTTCCACCCAAGAGTTTGTTTTTAGTTGAAATGGGTTGTCTTAACTTCCTTTGTGATTTCAAATTGCTTTCTTTGCTGTTATTCTGTTGCTTTTTAGCAGCTCTTAATCTGGGTGTATTTAGTGTGGAGCGTCTTTTCCATTACCTTTGTTTTTATAAAACACTCACCTCTAATTGCTCCAATCAGAGTAATGGTTTAATTACTAGTTACGGAAAGGGAAAGTTCTAGAAGTTTCTTTCACACAAATTAGAGGTTAATAACTGACACAACTGTAAAATACTGTTCTTCGTGTTTAACTAAACAACATTTCCTCCTTTCGTGTCACTTATAGTCCTGGATGTTTAAAAATTCACGTGTGTTTGTCTTTTTGAACAAACAAAAATTAAGGGAATTTTTAAATTAAGGGAATTTTAAATATTTGCAGACAAGCGTTTCTTTTATTTCTCATAACTTGCAATTCAAAAATCCGGAAGGACATTTTTCTCCATGTGAAACTGCAATGGTGAAAGATTTCTATAAAAAGAATAAAATTGAGGAGGGGGGATACTTTAAACGCCTCACCTTGTAATAGAATTTAACAAGTACAAAAGTACAGAAATAAAGCAAGGATAAGACACCCAAAAAAACTAATTTGTTAGCAGTCATTTTTCTAAACGAGATGAGCTAGGGCACTCAGTGGACAGTCGATTCTGACTAAATCCCAATCACTTCACAACCGCAAGAATGCTTTCTAAATTGGGAACCCACACAAACACCGAGAGTTGTTTTCATAAATTAATCCATTTCCATTTAAAGCGGTTAGTCCGGTCTTGCTGATTGTGATACACAAATGGCATAAATCCTGGGAACACTCAGTGATGGTCTATTCTGCCCCAGTGGACTGTTGCTTCCCCATTTCCTTCTATCTTCATGCTCCCATCTTTTCTTCCAGTGGCTCTGAGGCTGACTCTCCAGTGTTACCCTCTCTCCACCTCTGTTGTTGCTGTTGATAATGCTAATGTTTACCACTTCCGAACCTTGTGCCCTCACAAATTCTCCCCCTTCCTGAATCTTTCTGCTCACATTATCCAAGCCAATATATGTGATTGTGTGTATTTGACTTGAAAATAGCTGTTTTTTAACCTAATTGCTCCCTGAACTGTTAAGCCATCTCTTTTTAAACCCCTAACTTTTCACTGTCTACAATTCATCTCTAAACAATCAACTCCAACGCCTTACAATGGGATTTTTGCCCTTCATCCCACTCTCTTGAAGATGGCCATGACCTCAAAATAATCAAGTTCAATAGCCTGTTCTCAAATGTCATCCTCCTTGACATTACCCCTCTTGTGAAACTCTCTAACATCTTAGTTTCCAGGGCCAACTTCACTGTTGTGCCACCTGCAGAGTTAGCTGCACAGGCTCAGAAGGGGCCCTATTCTTGGTTTTGCTGTCATAAAATTCTTGCCGATTTTTTAACAAAGGACCTTGCTTTTTTTCCCTTCTGCACTGGGTCCCGAAAATTATGTAGCCGTTCCGACCTAGCTTTTCTCACACTGCATTGGTCTGGTCCTCCCACCTCTTTGACCTGTTTCTCTGCCACTTTTACAGGCTCCTCTCTCCCTCCAGCCTCCAAAATGTGGTCATTCCTAAGCATGCATTCTCTTCCCCACTCAACATTCTCAGTGTTACATTAATTCTCGGTATTTCCACTGCCATCTCTTCATAATGATGTCCAAATCCATAACTCACGCTCTATGAAGTCCCCTCCCCATATTTTCAACCATCTGTTGGATTTTTCCTAGTGAGGGTCTTCTCATCCTTTATATGCCCAAACTAAACCTTCTTTATTCTCCTCATCAACACCTACCAACTTTCCTATAGTTATTAATGGAATAATCATAATTCAGTCATCTTAATGAGTGGATATTGTCACATAGAGCTGCCCCATATCTTCCAATGATCCTATCTACCTGCTAGAAGGTCCTCACATGGTGAATCCCTTCAACCCAATGGAGAACCTTCAAGTTCCATTTGCTCCAAACATGCAACTTCAGTTCTACCAGTTGGATGTACCCACTGAAGATTTAACTCGGGAAACAAACTGCATGTTGGTGGCCCAGGCGGTGGCAGAGGCAGCATGTTTTTGTGGCCAGCTGTGGGGGCAGAAGAAGCAGGTTTCCTAGGTCGGTAGGTGAAGCAGCCTCTGACCAATCAGGCCTGCTCTGTGCTGAGGTTCTAAGAATTGTTTCTGGAAGCTTTGCCTAAAGCCCATCCTCCAGCTCTGCCAATGATACAGCAAACTTTGTAACACTCTCTAATAAGTCTCCTTTTGTTCTCTGAAATAGATTTTGTTGCCTACAATTTGCCAATACCTCAGGAGGACTGATACCCGCACATTGAAGAAAGTGGGCCACTGTGTTTGAGAATGCGTTCCTCAAAACGGTCTATGGCCCTTTTGGTGCTAGGACTGGCTAGGACTAGCAGTGCCATCCAGGCCACCCTGGACCCAGGTCCTGTGTGGGCTTTACTCTCAGTCTTTCCCCATTTGGGGCCCTCACTAACCCCCTATCGTGCACATGGTGTCATCCAGAAGTCCAGAGCTGGCATTCATTGGGGACCTCATGGAGCTTATGGATTCTCAGTGACTCACTCAACCTGGACAGAGGCAAACTGCAGTACTCTTTGCCACCAACAGTCCCCCAATGGTGGACTGTTGGACTTAGCCATGTGTGTGACCTCCTGTGTCAGGCCTCACCTGTATGTTCTGACAAACAGTGGTACTGCCTGGGCCTATAGCACCCTTTGCTGTGGGGAGGTGGCAAGTGTCTTTATACTGTGTGGCCCCCTAGACACACAGAACAGTCATCCTACTCCCTTCACTGGCTCTGAGCCTCACATCAGGCAATCTTCCCAGGTTAACTGCACCCACATTCTCCTTGTAGACAGTTGCTCAGCATTGTCAATCAGCCCTTCCAATCAATGTCTTCTCTTGCCTCCAATCAGTATGGTGTCTTTAATCTTGTGAGGGGTCCTTAATCTGAGCCAAATGAGAGATGAGCATTTCTTGCATGAATGGGACAGCTCTTCCCACTCCACTCATGGCCCCACCCCCACCTCCCCACTGGTGGTGGCGCTGGAAAGCCAGGGGCACTCAACATTGAAATCAACCATATGCTCAGAATGCCTTGATTACAGCCTGTGAAGTCCAAGAGCAGATATAATTGGGAGATGTGATGTTCAATGGTTATACTATAAAATTCTCAATGGTAAATTTTTCAAAAATTTGTTTTTCGCCAAAACCGGTTTGGCTCAGTGGATAGAGCGTCGGCTTGCGGACTGAAAGGTCCCAGGTTCGATTCCGGTCAAGGGCATGTACCTGGGTTGTGGGCACATCCCCAGTAGGAGATGTGCAGGAGGCAGGCAGCTGATCGATGTTTCTCTCTCATCGATGTTTCTAACTCTCTAGCTCTCTCCCTTCCTCTCTGTAAAAAATCAATAAAATATATATTTTTTTAAAAAATTGTTTTTCAATTACTGTTGATATGCAGTATTCATTTCAGGTGTATCACATAGTGATTAGACATTTCTACATCTTACGAAGTAATCACTTGGATAAGCCTAGTACCCATATGACCCTCGGTGGTAAATTTAACATGACCCAGAAGTGAATTATCATTCACATTTTCCTGCATATTCTGGGTTGGACTTGCATTTGTGGTCATCATTAACAAAGCACTGTGACAACCTCTGAGAGTGTCACAGGCCCACGATGGACAACACAGGGTCATAAACAACAAAGCAGTCAGCTTTACGTAAATGGAATTAAGAAGCTAGCTACAGAGGTATGAATTTCTGTATTGTTTTAATACAAACAGGTTCTCAGGATCCATGACACTGAATAATAACAGTTTCCCTACCCTTTTTTCATGGTGCGAGACAGAAAGTAGCCACACGTCACATTTGACAAGACGAACGGGAGATGTCTTCTGAACGTAAACAGAAAAAGTTGGAGCCTGGGCCCTAAGAGGAATCTTTATATACACTCATTGGAATAAACAAATACTCAAGGGCTTATTAAATCTCCATGGAGAAATCACCTCACATGGGCCCAAGC